GCGGTCGCCTAGGGCGCCACCAGCTGAAGGGGCGCCAATGAGCGCACGTACTGGCACTTTTAGCAGGGTTGTGATAAAGAGTGGCACGGTCACCCTGAAATATGACTGCCGTCCCCACTGGATCCCCCAACATTATTGGGCGAGAGTACTGTCAATCTGACGATAACTGTATGCCACTGGATCAGAGTGCTGTCAATTGCTGCCTGATTATTGCATGCAAAGTTTGCATTTGGAGCACTCAACAACGCCATTAGATCAGTGGGCTCTGTCAGTGCTTTGGCAAGGTAACACTTTTTTTTGCCATGCAATAAAGCTAAGTTCAAAGGCCAATTTAAAATTGACGATGCCTGTATGCCACTAGATCAGAGTGCTGTCAATTACTGCCTGATTGTTGCATGCAAAGTTTGCATTTGGAGTGCTCAACAACGCCGTTAGATCAGTGGGCTCTGTCAGTGCTTTGGCAAGGTAACACTTTTTTTTGCCATGCAATAAAGCTAAGTTCAAAGGCCAATTTAAAATATTGGTACAGTAAATAAAGTGCACAAAATCTGTATTTTGTTTTAGCAGTATTTGTGGCACTTTTGTGGCACATTTGTCCAAAAGGTCTGCGTTTTTTGCGCCAATGCATTGTTAAAGGATCAGCGTGTCATGTAATATTCCCATATAAACTTTAACATCCAATTAAAAAATATTTTTATAGTAAAATTCCCTAATTCACAAGATCAATAGATCATTTATTAGACTGCTTTGTCGAGTTAAATGCATCCTTACGGAGGTGTCGAAATGCTGAATCAATTCATTCACTTCCAACAGCGCTTAATGGGAGCATAGAGGGCAGAGCGTCACGTTATTTAAAGGGGACGTTCACACCTTAACGAGTAGCAAAGGATTAAGTAGCTGCATTGGTTACTTTTATGCCACTGATCAAGCTTTTATATGTAGTTTGGGTAACAAAGGGTTTGACTGAAATAATAATGCAATAACTGACACTTTAAATCAATGTTTCAAGAAACAACAACAAAAAAATTGAACAAACAACAGATAAAGACAAAAAAGTAGCCATTGATAATATCTAAACAATATGTAGTAGTATAGTATATAGTATCCAAATCAAAATGTAATAAAATTAATTTATGTGTGATTTATGTGTAAATTATGTGCAATGTCTTAGCCACTAGGGATTGTTACATACAGGCATCTAGTGGCAACACAATGATATTACAGATACTAAATTGTGCAAAATGTTTATCTTAACAGTCAATTTACAAATAATGCATTCAGATTTGTGGAACTCAATGCACTGAATCTCCACAAATTAGTGTCGTTACTACATCCAATTTGAATGTGACACGCAACTACTCTCTGAAAATAATTATATATATATATATATATATAATTTTTTGGGGGGGGGCAATATTGATGTCGCCTAGGGCGTCAAATTGGCTAGAAACGGCCCTGATTATATGCATCCGTGTACACGTGTTTACCAACCTTAAACACTGATGCCCATTGACCTGCAAGTTTTCCATCACTAACCCTTTAAAACTCTTTATTCCAGCAGTTTAAGTTTTTCCCTATTAGTGCCCCCCACAATCTGTCTCTGCCTCCAAAATTGTCTGGCACAACTGACTTAATAACAACACAGTGATAGCTGCTGTAACTAAAAAGTAGCCCAGTACACACATTAACCTCAAATGTACATGGAATAATAAATTCACCCCTACTATTTTATTTCATTATGTTTTCTGTTTGTACTGTTTACTTTTTTTAAGGGATTTTTTTATGGGATTTTAATACTGCTGCAAACTTTTTATAATTGATAATTTTATATTGCCATTTTAAATGATTTGTATTCTTAAGCTTTACTATCAATTTGGAAGTTTCAAAATAAATCTTATTGTACTTGTATAGTGACAAAGATATTCTATTCAGTTAGCTCATGCTCTTTCTGTATCTAACAAGCCATTGTTCAGTAATAAATTCAATATAATAATTAAAATAAATGATGGACTTTGTCAAAGATGAGAGCTTTAGTGAGGAAATGTTGTTTTGGGGAGGGTTGTTTTTTTTGACCATTGCTGCTCGGATCTTTTCAATATCCAACCGCTTTTCCAGATGTTGAAACTCCTCCTCAGTTTATCCAATTCTTCTGAGTGTGTTCACTGTATAAATTAATATAGATTAATCTTTGTATGCTATAAAATAATTAAATAAAATATTAAATAATGCTAATTTAAATGATTCAAAAGTTTACTTGCATTTGATAAGAAGCTGCGTGGGCAAAAATTACATGTAAACAATTTTAAGGCTATTTTGGCCATGCTCATCGCTGGTCTGGTTACTGGTAAAGGGCTATAGCCAAGCCGTTAAAATTAGACCACAGATTGCCTCGATTTCTCCAGGTGGGCTAAAAGCAGACCACACGTAGCCCGTCCAATTTAGAGCGAAATCGTGGCTACATATAGACCAAGTCATAAAATAACACTTATATCTTTGTAGATATTATTGACATTGTGAACATGATGGGATATCAACCATCTCATGCGCTACCTGGCCAAACACTACAGTGAATCAGGTTTGACTAGAAGTGGGCTACAGATAGCCGCTCGGACTACGAGCTAAATCGTGGCTACGCTCAGGCTAAGTATTGAACATGTCCAAGAAATTAAACCAAACACTCTGTAAACGCTGTTGACTTTGCTTACGTGATGGAATATCATACATCTCACAAGTTATTTTGCCAAAAAACGACATGAAACCAAATTCAAGGTTATTGGGCTAGAAGTGGGTTACACATAGCCGGACTATATCGCGTCTATACTTAACCGAGACCTTGAAATGATGGCTATTGCTTGCTGGGTTGTCGTGGTAATGAACACCACAGCAACCATTTGTGCGACAGCACTGAACGCGCATCTCGCATATAAAAAGCATTTTAGGGGGCCCTTGGCTTTTGGGGGCCCAAGGCGGTCGCCTACCTTTGCCTAATGGTTAAGTCCGCCTCTGGCCCTAAGTGAGTTTTATCCTGTTTTAATCAGTTGAAATATGCTTACATTGAAAAAAGACAATATATTGAACATCATTCAGGTTACAATAAATAAAAACATTCAATAAATATCTGTGGTATAATGTGTAAAGCCTGTGTTATACTTTCCGCGTGCGCTAGTCCGCTATGGTATGCGTGACGTAAAAATCGTAATCGGAGAGTGTGCGCGGAGGCTCCGAGCGGACATCCGCGCGCCTCCCATTTTTTCGCGCGGTCAGGCTACAAAAGCACCAACTGCGCATGCGCAAGCTGTGTGCATAAACCCGTTGCTATTCGAACCTGTACAATCCGTCGATAAAACAATATAAAGACAGCCAGATGTGCAATTGTTTCTTCAAATGTTTGTTTATTGTTCAAGCCGATCTACTGCATCATCGTATGCTTTCGGTAGTGTATAAATACAAGTCCGCGTGCGCGCTGTCCGTGATTGCTCATGCGGAAAATATAACACAGGCTTAAAAGCTAATATTGCACAGCATGCACTTGTCACTTGTGCATATGATATGGATGAAATTTCAGTGACAGAAGAATGTTTGAGATGAGTAAAAAAAAAAACAT